TATGAGTCTCCATGTTTCAGGCAGACGAGGTATACACTCAAAGCGTGCCTTCTAGAACACAGTCTAGGTAATAACTTCTGGTCTAAGGAAAGACATACCCAAATATAAATAGACTACTCTAATGATACTCTCTGTGAGATTTCCTCATAGGGTCTCTTTGTGGGTCTGTTCAGTGCGAGCTATACCCTTATAGGTCCACCCACGACTTTAGCTAAGACATCTCCATATCTGTAGCAGATGAGGTCTTTACCTTGTATCCAAATACAAGTAGATAAGTCGTGCTAGTCTTACCCGAGATCACTGATCCTCATTCTCAGTGTCTCTAGACTAGGAACATAAAATTAGGAATAAACGTGCGGTATCCTTGAATCCTCATGATCGTGATCTCATCACAGATACTCAAGAGATACTTGTTCTATTCTAAGGGGTTTATCCAGTTACTCATATAAAATATTAACAATAATATTGAGACAAAATATGAAACAGGATAAAGAGTGCTTTTATTTATTTGCGACAATATAAAAAGTCCACATATGTCCTAATCTAATCAAAAGATTGTCTCTAGGACATCCATATACTAACAGTTGACCACGTACAAAATCAATAATTCTATGAAAATTGTACAAATAATGCTTTTGTCACAAAAATGTCTTTATCAATGACTCAACTTTATGACATCTTCGCTTAGGATATATTTTTAATTATGATTTAAGAAATATGTCTTTTAAATTTCCATTCATATAATATAATAACAATATATCATCTTGTGATATATCTCAAATGGTCAAACAAAAGAGGCAACCTATATTTCTAATAATAGTGCAACTTAAAAAAAAAATTGAACTAATCCATATAGATATATAGGGTCATTTTCAGTCTCTTTTGTTCACGGACACAAGAACTTCTTGATCATATTGGATAATTTCTACAGATTCCAATAAAATTTATTCAATCCATAAAATCAAAGAAATAAAAAAAAATGAACCAAATGATATAAAACAAACTAAAATCAGTGATTTTTTTATTTGAATATTTTTTTAAGCAAAACAATAAAGCCATATGTCAAGTTATGAATGACCACGTATTTCACCTATATGTAAGTGATTGAATAACTCGCCTTCTTTTTTAGATATTTCACTTATTACTTTGTGTGGAACAAGCAAATATATGTGAAATCAAGGTGATGATATGCATCACAGGCACTCAAAGTTGATTTTTTTTTTATATCATGTCAACATAGTTTTTGATGATAACAATCAAGCTTGGAGGAGGTGACTCAAGAGCCATAAGAAGCAACATTCCAAAAGAAACCAAATGTATGTGAAAGCAATGCATATTCAAGTGCTCAAGTGTCAAAATCAAGGATCAAGGATCAAGCCTCAAAGCATGGAGCTAAGTCCAAGATCACATCAGAATATATTTTTAGGACTTAGAACATGTATGTAAAGGTGTATAGTATATAGAATTGCATGAGCTCAAGTCATTCTAATCATTACATAATCAAAAAGTGTTTAAAAACCTTGGTTTAGTAGGTCAAAATTACATCGAAAAGTTTTTAACATGGTTCGAGCACACAAGGAATCTTGCACAACCTAAATAATACACATGTTCACACTTTTGAAACTCTCTTTAAACTTGAAGATTGCATTTTGAGACTACATATTGAAATAAGACTTATTGATTGATTTAACGTGTCAAATTTGGATCAAAATGGTTTTCACATGATTTGAATGCTTATGAATATTTTCTAAGTCCAATTACATATGTTCAACATGAGAAAAGTCATTTTGGATTTTAAAAAAAAAAGGAATAAAAAATTTTGTGCAAGGTGTTTCTGTTGCTGCCATGAAATATCTGGGTATAACTATTGGCATATCCGGATACGAATATCAGGATATTGGAGGGTTACATATCCGGGTATGCCCTCCACATAAATCTGGACATGACCTGTCCAAAATGTTTCCAACGACTTTTTTTTGTTGGAAAAGTATATTAACTCATTGATAACGACATTATTCACCAAGAAATAAAATTATATCATTTATTGAGTCATTATAACTCCTTCTAACACATTCTTGCTCATTGATTACATACTTTCTTCTTCATCATATACTTGAGCTCATCTTTTTTGTTTAAGCTATACATGCATACACTTACTAGACTTCAATTTGTATGATATGTACTTTGAGAATACTTATTTATTCTTAAACACATTTCTTTTGAGAGATTGGTGATTTTGGGTAGTGAGACCCTTGTTGGAAAGGTTGCCCATAGCCTAAGAAATTGGGAGGAATTGTAAGGTAGTCAAGATCCATAATTTAGGTGTGATTGTAGTGGTTTGTTCAAGCGCCCTTGAAGCTTGACTAGTAGTGGACCAATCATTGCGATGATTGAAGGCTGGACGTAAGTCATGGTGGTTGTGACTGAACCAAGATAAATTGAGTTTACAATCTCTCTAACTTTATCTCCTCTCTTTTTTTGCTATCCTTAGTTTATCTCCTTTAATCTAGCTTTCTTATCATACTTGAGCACATTTAGTTTTAAATTTATTGATATCTACTTGCTTTCCTAAGTTGTTATCCATTACCTTTTGCTTATCATAAATCATAACAACTCGAGAAATTAATTTTTCGAAAAAAGCAAGGCAATTTGTGAAAAGATTTTTAAAACTCAATTCACCCACTCTTGAGTTTTTAGACCATTTGAACAACAATATAACCTTATTTTAATTTTTATATAAGTTGTATGATTAATCATATGTTTCACTTAATGTCTAATATGTACAATTTTGAAGTAATAAGCAACATAATAGTTAACCTCTCTTTATTTTGTTTCATGTAGTATTTGATAAATGATTATTATATAACTTCTTATTGTTTTTAATCCTACCCTAGTAAATGATAACCGTTGATTGATGGAAATCAAAGGTTAATATTTAGTGTCAAATTTCAAAATTTGACACCAGTGTCAAAGGATACTATTCTTATATATATATATATATATATATATATATATATATATATATATATATATAAATATATATATATATATATATACATATATATATGGGACAGGATCACCTTACACCGGTGTAAGAATAATAAGTCTTACACCAGATCTTAACCGTTGATTTACATGCATCTAACGGTTAAGATTTATTGTGTCTCATTAATTAATCAATCATTAATTCCCATTACATTTTAACCGTTAGATGCACATAAATCAACGGTTAAGATTTGGTGTAAGAATTATTATTCTTACACCGGTGTAAATTGATCCTATCCATATATATATATATATATATATATATATATATATATATATATATATATATATTTGCATATATATTTGTATTTAATGACTCATATAATAAATACATTGAATATAGGGTAAAGTGTGTGTCATTTTAAAGGATGTAAAGTTGTGTCATTTTAAGAGAGAGAAAGAGATAGATAAAGGAGGAGAGAGAGTTGATCAAAAAAATAAACCCACCTCTTTGTGAGAGTGAAATGATATAAGTGGTGTCATTTAAAAAGATAAACATTTTTCCCTTAAATATAAGTGTGATCAACTATCAATATTAAAAGCGTAACTTATAAATTCAATGAAGATGAATATTAGATGGCAGTATCCAAGAGATGGGTCAGTAAAGATCAATATAGATGGTGCTGCTAGAGGTAACCCTGGCCTCGCTGCTTGTGGGGGTTTGATATGAAATTCCCAAGGGAGATGGCTGGGGGGTTTTTCTTATAAATTGGGTTATTGCTCTTCGTTCAAGGCTGAGTTTTGGGGTGTTCTTCGTGGTTTGGAGCTAGCTTGGAATGAAAGTTATCGTAATATAATCATTGATAGTGATTCATCTAGTGTGATCATTGTGCTCACCAAGTCAGGTGAAGCAGTCCGTGAGTGTCATTTGATTGCTCGTATACGGACATGGATCAATAGAAGTTGGACAGTTACTTTGATGCATGCTTATAGAGAAGGAAACGTCTGTGCAGATTGGTTGGCGAATTTTATTTTGGATTCGGATGATTCCATTACATATCGGTTTTGGAGGGATCCTCCTCCTGGTATTCTTCATCTTCTCCTTGGTGACTTTACTAGTGTCAGTAGTCCAGGGAAGTGAGGTGTAGGCTTTAGTTTTGTTTTAGTTTTCTTTGCTCTTTCTTTGGCTTAGGCCTTTTGTTTACCAAAAAAAAAAGCGTAACCTATATTTGTGTGAAATAATACTTATCCTATTTTTAATATATTATATAATATATATATATATATATATATATTTATTTTTCACTTATTCAGCTATAATTCAACCCCAACCAAACTATAAACTAACGTAAAAAAGAGGAAAAATGTGTATCCTTTAAAAGGACACATATTTAGATTATTTTAGGAGAAAGATAAACATAAAGAAATGTGATCCATATTTTTATTTTGGTTTTTATTTTTTTAGTAGAACCCATATCTTTTTGTAATTATCTTTTTTCTAAAATAATTTAAGTGTGTATCATTTAAAAGGACACACATAAAAAAATATCATAAAACAAAACTTTTTCTGGTCCTTTGGTCCGATTTTGAAAAGGTTGTATCCTATAATCCTATTGTTCGTCAGTTGTCGCTTGGACATCCAACCAAGGATATTAGACTGAGTTTGAATTTTCCAACGCTAGCTATCCCATTCAAATTTATATGATGCCAAAATTCGTCATTCTATTAAGTTGTTATTTACTAAACAAACAAAACCATTTCTAGTATTTTAAGTTCATGAAAATTTCAAATACTACACTAATGTAGCATATTAGACTCAGTTTATAATGTGTACTTATATTTTACACATCCTTATCATTTGAAATAAGTCTCATAAATATTTACCAAAACAAAAAACAAAAAAAAAGTCTCATAAATAAATTTTCATCTCAATTATTTTCTTCATAGCATTTAACATTAAATTATACTGAATAAGAAAAAAAAAATTGGCCCAATAATAGCAGGCATTTCCCACAATAGATTGTTACAATGTTTTATTTTTTAATATAAAAAAAAATCCATATAATATAATTGGTCCAAAGTTCCATTCACAGATATCAGTGCCCAACCTTTCTTCATTTATTCGAGCACATTATCAATGCCTGCATCTGCTATCTATACTCCTAGTAACTTCCACTACTTTAGTGGAAGGCATGATGACCCACCTAGAAGCTATTACTAGACCACTCATATTTAAAGTCTAAGTGTCCAACTCTACTTTCCGAGATTACACATATCAACATGAATGTAGTCTAGACTATGGATACCAACCACAAGATGAACCCCAAAATTATTAAATTAACAACCATATCTTAACAGGTCCCAAAAAAAAAAAAAAAAAAAAGTAAAAAAACTAAAAGGTTGATCTCTTTAGAGAGGTAAGGGTAATGGAAGAACCCAAGGGGGAAGAACCCACTTGAATCTCAAAGGAATCATAACGAAGAAAGAACTCAACAAGCAAAAGCCTTGAAACCAACATAACAAAGTCCTTGCCAGCACATTGCTTGTTCCCAACCGTTGGATTCTCTGTCTCAGGTCCATTTGACCACAGCACATGTTTCAGCAGCTTCTCACCTTCTTCACCCACGAACCTGTCCCCGACAAATTCTTCTGCTCTCTCGAAAATCTTCGGATCCTTCGTCGCAAACGGTTGGTACCCAAACAGCATCTCACCTTCCTTCACCTGAAACGCGTGCTCGTGACTCTCGATCACCATGTCCCTCTTCGCTCTCCCGAACTGCAACGGAACCGGAGGCTCAATCCTGAACGCCTCGTACACCACCGATTTCATCAGCGGCATCTGCTCCATCGCCGCCATGGTAACCTCGCCGCCGGCGGATCTCACGGCGGACCTTATCTCAGTCGCGAGCTGCGTGTGGAGCTTCACCCCTGCTCGCCCGATCCATTTCATAACGTTGGGGAAGAAAATCTTCATCCCTCCGAACGAATTGAAGCCCGTGGCGAAAACCAAGTTGTGGCAAGCTTCCTCTTTTGAAATACCCAAACGCTCCGCTTCGTCGAGCACAAACCCCGAAGACTCGTAGAAGAAATCGTAAATCCTCTGGTAATCTTTCTTAATGAGTGAAGGAGGAAGGCGAAACGTGTGGATCACGGAGTCTTCAATGAGTTTTGGAAGACCCAACCTGAGAATAGGACCAAGTTGAAACAACACCCATTTCTGAACCAGCTTTGGACCATCGAGTCCAAGCTTGGTGTCACAGGGGTTCGTTCCATAAAGAGAACGAGCTAAGAAGTTAAACGCGGCTTGATCATTAGCGTCTCCGAAACTGGCTTTTCCTTTTTCAGCAAGGTCGTTCTCGAGGCTCTCGAAGAGTTGGGTGTAGCATGAATGGAACTCGGGGATCACCTTGTCGCGACGTGACTTGAGGAGGAAGAACATGAGTCGCTTCAGTTGACCGTGTCTGGGTTCGGAAGGGTCGAGGTAAGAGAGAACTCTGTAACCGCCGGTGAGTTCGGTGGAAGGCATGAAGGTTCCCGTGAAGACATCTTTCTTTTCGACCTTGGTCACGTCGAAGAGGATGGGGAAGCTTTTGCCGTCAAGTAAAACGACGACGTTTGGGTTTGGGGCAATGAAGGGTCCAGGTGGCACGTTGGTGCGGAAAACCGTTGACTGATACTTTTGGATTCTGGATTTGAAGTACTCGTCACGGCCTTGGTTGTAGAAATAATCGAGACGGTCCTTGTAAGGACCAAAAAGTGGGATCCCGCAATCTCCGGGGATTTTTCGGATCGGAAGCTTGGTTGATTCCGGTGCTGTCACCGACACCGACAGGGATGGTTTCTCGGAGACAGAGGCTTTGATCTGAGGAACAAAGAATGAAGAACGCGACGAGGACGAGGATGAGGATGAGCGTTTTCTCGTTGATGGAAATTCTAGTTGAAGGAAAGGAGTGGAAACAGTAGAGGATGCCATTTAGATTTTAGAATTGACGAAATTCTTAAGCGAAAGATTTAATGCAGATTTTTTCAGCGGTGGGTTCTGTTGTAGAGAATAAAAAACGGGGTCGTGTGGGAGGTTGTGGTGGGTGGGTTTTGTGATGATGCAATGCCTGGAACAAGTGTTATGGGCCCTTCTACTTATAGAGAATTGAATGGTGTGTGGCTCTTGACCATTCAAGAGCTGAGTCTTTTATAGTCTTTTATTGACCCGAAAAATAGAGACTATAGGAATATGAAATCGTGAATTTTGTGCATTAATTTTTGTTTCCCTTTCCAGCGTTTTGCTTTACCGTGGACTGTGCACTGTGCAGTACAACGGGTTATTGTATAAGGAAAATAAAATAAAATTGAGTGCATTGCAATTTGCTTTGGTTATGTGTTTAAATTTTATCAAAAGCAAATTCTTGATAATATTTTGGAATTTGACGAAAATCCTCTCTTTTTGAAAGAGGATTAATCTCACGGTTTATCCGGTTACATAATCCAATGCACCCAATGAAGAGGTACTTGAGGCCGTATTCCAAAAATAAAGAAACGTGTGTGTGGATATCTCCTGAATTATTAAAAAAAATGAAAAATTGGAAAAAAGTAAGTGCGCTGGGTCCAACATCCACTGGTAGTTCTCTGAATTTAAGTGCTCGGAAACTTTTTGAGATTTTACCAATTGTCTCGATCATCTTGGAATATCTATGTGTGCAGCGTGGCATTCATCTTTCGTGCATTGCAATGATCGTGAAAGTTGTGTTATTGGATTTGGAAATGAATTTTTTCATATTAAAATTTTAAAAAGGGTTATATTTACCATCCAAATAATTTACAAACTCTTACAATTATATATTAATCGTTGATTTTCATTAATTAACCGTGGTTATTTATAGTGAATTAATAATTAATTAATAAATTTGATTTACGAAAATCTTAACTGTTGATTGACGAAAATCAACAGTTAAAATATAATTGTAAGAAGTTGTAAACGAAAATAAATTCTAAGTATAACCCTTTCCTAAATTTTTATATGATTTAATATGTGAAATTTTTATATCTATTTTTTTATTTGTGTTTATTTTTTTCTTTATTAATAATAATAATTAAATTTACCTATTTAATGCACATGAACAGAAAAATAAACACAAACTTTTTACATAATCATATGTATTTTTAACGTGAGAGATGCACTCCCATAGTATTTTCTCTTTTGAGCACTGTTCATTCGCTGTACACTGGATGGGGCACGAGTATTATTTCATGAGGAATAAAAGATGAAGATTTAGATGTAAGTGGTGGGTCCAATCATCAAATGTTGTTTTCTTTATGGAAGTAATAGCCTAATAGGCATCTTTTTTAGAGATTGCTCACGATGGATAAAATTCATTTCATCTATATGGACGGCGGCATTCTTCTTTCGTAGAGCGGTAGAGGCATTGGCGTGCTACAATGAATAATGTGGGAATATAAGTAAAAAAAGCAAACGTGTCTTTGAAATAATTATTAAAATAAAAATGGTCATTTATACCACATTCAGTCTAGTGTCTTAATAATATTTGTTAAAATAAAAAAGTTCAATTAAACTAGTTCAATTTTTTTTTTTAAATATTCAATATTTAAATTTTTATTAAATCTGGTTAACATAATTCTCAAAACACATGTTAATGATTAAAAACAATGTTCATTAATTATTTTAGTTAATTAAATTAAAAATTATTTTCTAGAATTTCAAAATATCAAATAATTATATTTTTTTATTGAATACATTTTTTTAATTTCTTAACTTGTATTCTTCAGACACAGATTATAAAAAATAAATTCTTATTTTGTATTCCCAAAAGGACAGTCATTAGAAAATTCATTATTGTGAATCCAAAACAATGTTATTTTGAGGCAGAAATCAGTGTATTTTTGTAATTATAATTTATTTCAGGGTTATAATAGTCTTTTTCATTATAATTTTTTAATTTTTCAACCCAAAATAATGTCGTTTTGGGAGCGAATGTAGATAATTAGATAATTTATCTACGTTCACTTTAGAAACATTAAATCCATAAGTAAATGTTACCCATTTAATAGAATCAATGTCAAAATATCTTTACAAAAAAGCTATAAAGTCATTTCCTATAACTAATTTTGAGTTTTGTTAACTAGTACTTTTAAAGAAACAAAATTAAAAAATATTAGATAAAAATGTAAAACTTTAAAGTATTTAATATGATAAAATTTCCTTTTCATTTTAATGTTTTTTATGCATAGCCAAATCCTTATTTTTGTTTGGAGTGAATACTTTCATATATTAGTTAATATAATTATATCATGCGAGAAGATCTTAACTATTCATGAATAAATTAATTGTAATAATTTTTTATTTTTTATTCTAATATTTTTTCTCTCATTCCTTATCACTGTAGATTTGCTAATGAATGATTAGATCTTCTCAATAACATAGTAAATAATAATATTATCTGGCATAGAAATTAAACCAGTTCATTTTCGGGAACAAAATAAATAAATTAGTTTTATCAAATATTATTTTTATTCATTTCTATTCTAAAAAAAAAAAAAAATTGATTCTAAAAAAATTATCATACACACTCCCAGCATCCGTAGCATGATTTTCCTTCCAGTGGGATTCTTGTATTCTACTGTCGTGTAGCTTAAAATGAAATAAAATACAAACACTAGCTATGTACCTATAAGGTGGTGTTTGGTTGGGAGCTTTTCAGCGGATATCTATTTTTCTCAAGTATGGCTTTTAGAAACACTATGTTTGTTTCAACGTTTTTCACCAAAAACCCATCTATCCAATTTGTCTGGATTTATAAGAAACATAGATATCCGCACTGTTTAGAAACCCAATTTGAAGGTGGGATTTTTCGGAAAATCAGTTATCTGACTTTTAATGCACTGTTGATTTCATAAAGTTACCTAATTTTCTCAGTAAAATTTTTCTCCACCAAACAATTTTTTTTACATTTTTCTACCTATCTCACTTTATCTATCTTTCCAATCATTTATCTATCTATCTCATTTCCCTACTATTCAAAAAAATGAGCGTTTGGTTGTGTGCTTTTTGAGATTTTTCTAAGTAAATGAAGTTTAGTTTTTAGAAAACTAATGTTTGGTTCAACAGGTTTTGACCAAAATCCATCTATATGAAATGTCTGACTTTTTGAGAAAGATAGTAATTTGCACTGTTTAGAAACACGATTTGAGGGTGGTTTTTTGAGAAAATCCAGGTAAAGCACTGTTGACACACTTTTTGTCATATATTTTCCTTTGGAAAAATTTTGCCAAACCAAACTACTTTTTTTTAACTTCTCCATCTATTCAACTTTCTCTATGGATACTTAGTAATTACATTTCTCTAGTATTCTTAAAATTTATCTTCAACCAAACGTCCCCAAGATAAAAAAATTCCATATAATATATAGCATTTGACCGGTGTTTTAAAATCGGCTTGAATTGGCGCGGATTAAACCAGTCGAATCACGAAATGTTCATATTTTCAATTTGAATATTCCCCTAAATTTAATTTTTGATTTGATTTCAAAACTTTGCTTTTGAAACGAATTTCATTTCTCTATCCTAACCGTGTCCTAAAATTTCATCTTTCTTTTGTTTTTGTTTTTTTAAGTAATAACAGCTAATTACACGAAACCTTTTGTAACATGTGGCCATCGGAATTCTTTATATATATAAGTCAAAGCAACCAAAACATGGCAACACGGCTTTTCGAAACCCACATGCCAATCTAATAGTATTTTCCGATCCTATGTCATCATTAAATACAGAGTGAAGTACTTTTTGTATCCTTAATAAAATTATTGGATCTATTTTAATAAAAAAAATTAATTTATGATTTCTCTAAAATTTAAAATAGATCTAGTCACTCAAAATTATAGTCCTTCTAAAATTTATAGAAGAATCAGATTCGTTTTTAAAAGGATTAACATAGTTTATTTTAAATTTTAGAATGATCAAGAGTCGACTTTTGTTTTTTAAGAAATTAAATTAGATCTCGTAATATTTATTGAGTACTCAAAAAGTATTTTACCCTTAAATCTATTTCCCGGCATAACACTTTAATTTATTGTTTTTTTAAATTGCTTTTGTTTATTTTTTTTAAACTATTTTCATTCATTTATTGTAAATAATTTTTAAAAAAATGAAAATATCATTTATGGATAATCCCAATATAATAAGAGATGGAATCCTCAAACTTTCAAATTTGATACTAAATCTTAACCGTTGATTTTTATCAATCAATGATTATTATTTATTGAGAATCAAATTTTTTAATTAATTATTAATTTTTAATAAATGATAATCGTTAATTGATGAAAATGAATAGTTAAAATTTTGTGTCAAATTTTAACTGATATCAAAAAAATGCTCACCATAAAGTTGCTATGCTACTTTAATTATTTGAGAACTCAATAAATACTGGAGCTCATAAAAAATATATAATCGTCGAAGTAAACTCAAATAGTATTTGTTACCCATTTTTTAATGGATTTTTAATTATTTATTTTGAAACCAACAACTGGTAAAAGTTTGACAACCTATTTTGAAAGCAACTCGTCATTTTGAACCCCCACGTGCCAATTTAAGCATCCTTTATTTTTAATTTTTTTAAAAAAATGGGGAATCATTCTTTAACCATAAATCTAATATAATAAACGAGATAGGATCCTTTGATACTAGTGTCAAATTTGAAATTTAATACTAGTGTCAAATTTGAAATTTAATACTAGTGTCAAATTTGAAATTTGACACCTCATATGATAGTTGTTAGATAAAAAAACAATGGTGTCACATGCTTACAAATCAGAGTCGTTGATCTTTTTTGATCTAACGGCTCTCAGATTAAGTGTCGAATTTCAAATTTGACAGTGGTGTTAATGGATCCTACCTCATAATAAACTAATGTTACTTATTTTATAGTAAATAACTAAAGGTTTGATGTATCTCATGTTATATAAATATAAAAGTATGTAGGATCCAAGTGGGATCATGTGAAGAGAAGAGAATAAAAAAAACATGGGCTCCACACAACTTTATGTGTATGCAGGAGATAATTTTATTTACTATAATATGAGAGACATCAAATCCAATAAATAAATGTTACTTTGATGCAAAAAGAAAAAGAGACTTGTTATCAAAGAAGGTTGATTCAAGTGGTACATGCTTGATTTTGCTTAAGCAAAGTCTTGGGTTTAAGTCCTTCTGAATGTAAAAAATTCTCTTTGGGAGAG